GTCAGCATTTAAAAAGCATCTTTTTATAAGAAGAGCCATCCAACAACCGCTTCATTGTCTAATTTATAGCATGCAGTTCTCTGTCTTTCTCTTCAATTTCCTTCCAGCTCATGTACTGTATGATCCCTTTCACGGAGTTGCTCCTGCAAGCCAAATTTACAAGCTTTAAACAAAGTCGCCTACCATAAATAGATTATCAGCACAAAATTCTTTATTTTCTCACAATGACAAACAAAAATCTGCATCTGCACTGCAGTATCAATAAATGGTCAACAGACATGACAAACTCGATACTACTAAAAAAGGCTACAAATGGACAATGAAAAAAATATTTTAACCATAAAACTTGAAGAATAATAGATTTTTCGTGTTAAATTAAATAGAGCAAACTAAACTACAGAGACCACATATTATATTTAATTTACACCTGAAGCTTGCAGGCAGCATTAGAATGTTCCTTGAGTTGAGCATCAAAGCTATTTTGCATTTCAATTATCTCAGTTCTTGCAATCATTTGAGCTCTAATCTCAACCTCGATGCGTTCTAACTCCTCCCTTTGTCTAGCAACATCCTGAATTCGTTGCTGCAATATATCATTGTCTAATGTCCCATCCACTGTCACCGAACAGAAATCAACATCAAGGGGCTGTCTTCCTTGCTGCACCTTGAAAAGGAAAAAATCATCTTCAGTTCCTAAATCCAAAACACTGAAAAGAAGCTTCTGTTACCATAAACATAACCTTACCTCATATATGGTTCTTTCATCTGATTGCCCCAACTTTCTTTGTTCTAACTCCTGCAGAATAATAGATGTCCAGTTAGCAATCAAATAAAATGAAAAATAAGGAAAAAAAATAGCTCCTTCCACCATAACCGGAATGCCAGCACAGCACCCTTTAAAAAAATATGACTGAACAGCGTAGCTTTGATATTAAACTTGAACGGCCTCAAACAATTTGCTTTCACTTCACTGCTCTCATTTATAAAAGTCAATAGCTCAGTTCCTAATATATGCACGGTTAATGGGTAGGGGATAGCCTGCAATAAAAGCAAATAAGTCTCTAAAACTTGAGTGGTGGACACTGACGGACCATATGAGGTTTCTCTAAACCAAATATTGAAAATATAGAGAACCACGCACTATCCAAAAGATAGAACATAGAAATAAAATTTAGAAACCGAATCAAATTACGTATTTCACCTCAGTCTTGATGTGTGAAAAGAAAATACAGTTCAAACTTATATAGACTTGAGTCATCTAAGACAAGATACTTGCTTCACAAAGACAAGCACGGGAACTACATATCCACCGAGTGTGCGCAAGCTAAGGACCACATTATCCACCTACACACTACTCATGACTTCTATTAGCCACAGGGTTTGTGCCCAGAAAAACCAATAGCCCCTGAACTTTAAAAAAAAGATACAAAGATGAACATAGACTAGCGCGAGCCGACAAAGCTAAACCCTAACCCCAATTTGGACAGTGAGAAATATGTTAATCCTCAGAAGGCATGCATTGAGAAGGAGATCCAATGTTTTCATTCTCTCGATCTCTAGCAATGGGTAAGCTTCAATTCCACATCTTTGTGTTTTCATCATTTCCCACGTTACCCCGCTACCAAATAAGACCCGGTAAAAATATTGCCGCTGACGAATCAATACCTTGTCGTCTGGGTTTCCAGCTAGATGATGCTCCGCAACAGCGCGCCACTCCTGCCGGGACAATGGCATCTGGAAAGAAGAGCCCCGAGTGGCGGTGGCAGTGGCTACACTGGCCGTGCCCTCCATTGAGTGAAAAATCGAAGACACTGATGTTCACTCAATATGTATCGCCCAAAAATAATATCCCTTAATTTTCAAGGGAAAAACATTAGCAAAGCCCTAAAACTGGGGGCTTGCGAAAGCAGGGCACTGGCACCGCAGAATAATGTTGGGAGGGGGATAAGAAGGAAAGGAAAGGAAGGGGGGGTCCGGAGGATAAAAGGGTTTTGGAGGGATTCCTGTTTAATCAACTCTCATGTCGGGTAATTTTTATTTTTTTTTTCAACCCTCATGGGTGTGTCTGGATTTTGGCATAAGTGATCATAAAAAAATTTGATCAGCATAATAAGTTTTAATTATAATAGATTGATTATGTTATGATATGATGTTGTTTGAATACTAATTTTTTAAATTGATTTTAACCAAAATTAATTTTTGATATATAAATTACAATAAAGGATATAAGTTTTGTGATGGATATTGGTAAAATTGCATATAATATTATTAAATTTATTTTGATTTGTTTAACAATAAGATGTGGTAATGATACATTTAACATTTGTAAAATTATTTAACATACGTATATTTATTAACAATATAAATTTAAATTTAAATTATATTATAATATTAATGTTTTAATTTGAAATGAAAAAGATCCTTGCTTCCACAATGCCACTCTCTGCTATCCCTCCAAACCCTTCCACCGCATCATGTCCCTTCGTCTCTCTGACGCCTCCTCCTACATTGCCCTCAAATCCCTCTTTCACCCTTCAGTCTCTCTAGCTCCTCAATTGCCCTGCCACTCCCATTCGTTTCCCTCCCAAACTTGTTGCCTCTCCTCGCTCCTTCACATGTATCAACAGCCTCCGTTAGGTCTTCGGTGTTTAGCTCCCTTGCCTCGAGAACCTCACCAATCCCACTGTCTCCAATGTCCAAGTCAAGGCTTTAGGCCCTTATGTTTATAGGACTTAGCCGATCACAAGCCACACATTGGTAGGGGTATATTTAAGATGTTTGAAATTCTAACAAATAATAGAAGTTCTAAAAGATATAATTGATATTGAGAAGCAAGTGAGGGGAGCTTCATTCAGAGCACATTTTGAAATTAAATAATCAATCATATAGAAAATAGAGTGTTTGGGTATTTTGTACCAAAACGTGGTTCCCGTACAAATAAATGATTTTGAACGCAAATGCAAATAGGCACTACATATACAAACGCCACGTTTAGTTAGAATGATTGATTTTGTTTAATAAAGCATTATGAATGGCACATTGTGTCTCGTTTGGTTTCCCTCTAAGGAATAGAAGCTATAATGCTTTGTTTGGTATGGTATGGTAGAAGAGTTTTTTTAAGAAAGTAGAAGTGAAGTTGGAAGTGAAACTGAGTTTAAAACTATGTTTTGTATGTTGATGGGAGTGAGATGTCAATTTTAATTAAAATATCCATTTATAACATGAAAATGCTTGAATGCCTCTACTGAAAAAATCTTAAACCCCTTCACCCCTCCAATGCAACCACCATAAGTTGATCCAATATATGAAAGTGAATTATATCAAGGACAAAACCAACCAACAATGATTAAAAGCGTGTATGGAGATTTATATCAAAAACAAAAAAACGAATCAAAGGGTATTCAAATAAAAGAAAAAAGAGAGATTCAATTATGGCAAAAATCATCAACCATTACACAGGTCTAGAGATGCAATGATGGCAGAAATCAAAGAGAAAATGGAGATGCGGTGGTGGCGACCATCACCCACCTTCTCACTTGCTTTGCCATCAATGTCAACCTCTAAAGATGTAATGGTGGCAATCATCCCCTATGTCTCTCTCTCATCTTGCAGATCTTATGCAACTATAATAATCATCACCCACGTCCTCACTCTCTTCATTACCAACTTTAACCTCTATCGTAGCTTCATTACTATTGCCAATAGGAGCCATCAAGGAAGTAGGTTGCACCGTCAAGGAAAAGGGGAGAATGTTGGAAGGGTCATTATTGATGAAGAGAAGATAAGGTTGGAGAGAGTAGAGATGGGAGTAGGGTTCGTGACATCCCAAGATTTAAATAAGGGCTAATTAAGTCAATTAAAGAGTTGGATTAATTAATCTAGATCCTAATCGGATTAATTGGAGTGATTGGATGGTCATTGGGTTCATTGGACCCTATATGCAAGTTTAATTTAGATCTGTTTATGAGGTGGCCCAATTTAGTGGGCTCAAGTGAGGGTTTCCAAAATGCACCATTTGTTGTGGCTCACAATTCCATTAGTTGTGACGGATGCAATGAACTTTTAAATTTACATAAACACAAATAGTTTAAAATGGGAGGAATTTTAAAGGAGAGTTTGAGAGGGAAGTCTAAAGGCTCCGATAGAGCTTAAGTTGTTAAAGGCTATCTATGCCCATTAAGACTTTAGGTTAGCTTTCTCGTTTCTTCTTCTCTCCTTATCTTGAGTTTTTTGCACTTCTTTTTAAGCTGTTGAGTTAAGGTCTGAATCTAGAGCCAAGTTGTAGCAACTTTAATGGCCTTAATAGAGTTTAACAGAATAATTTAAGTTTCTAATCCCTGGGTCTTGTTTAATGGTAGTGATTTGTGTAATATTCTAATTTTATTTAAGAATTTAATTAAGAAAATTATGATATTCAGTTGAGAATTAAATTGTATTTTGAAAAAAATTGAGGCTAAGGAGTTTGGGCTCTCTTTCTATATGGAGAAAAGGCCGATATCAAAACTCATTGTAAGTATCATTGAGTAAAGTGGAAAGGGGTCAAGTTAGGTCATGTGAGAGAGGTTATATTTGAGATTATGCTACAACCATTTAAGAGAGAAGAAAAGAGAAAGCTAATTTTCACAAGGCAGTCTTAGAAAATCAACGTCTGCAAGTCCGTTGATTGTTTGATTAAGCTAAAATTTGGTCAACAGGTTTGTAGCACCCGACTAGTCATTTTCAATGGCTGCATTATTGATTAGTTTTATGCTGTGAGAGTTATTCACTTCATCATCCATAACCATGCTCACGTCTTCACGGAGCAATCTTGGTAAATCGGCGCTTAGGAATTTGTTAACCATTAAAATAGGTTGAAATTTAGTTAGCAAGTTTGTAACATTCAACTCATCATTTTCAACAGTTGGATCGCTAACTCATTTCCTGATGCTAAAGTTATTCACTTCATCATTGGTGTGGAATTTTGCCTAAGTTAATGAGATTAACTAATCCAACTTTAGGATTAGTATGATATTAGTGTCACGCACTATAATTAATTTAATTAATATGTGATGGTAAGCCTTGGGATGAGTAGCCTCCTAGTTAATGGTAAGCCTTGAGAGGGAAGATTGGAATATTCACAACTCATAAATGCAAGTTAATTGTTATGCATGTTTACTTATGAATGTATTTTATATGTGATGAAGCTCGTGTTAATAATGGCTTAAGAAGGGAGACAGTTGATTTTGGTGTTTTTAGCATGAATGCTTATTCTGGCACCAAGTGTTATAAGATTGTTATATGACTATAGATTAGAGTATGGCATGAGCCATTAGTTAGTTTTTTTAATAATAACGTATCTTAGATGTGTGCACCAAGTGGATGTGTGGACCACCTTAATTGAAGGTCCAAGCTATAAATTAGGTATCCTAGAAGTTAACAATTAAAACCATTTAATCTGTGTTGTAATTGTGCATGTACCATGGCGGACGTGCTTGTTTTGCTAAAATATCTGTTTGGCCCCTGTTTGAACTAGTCTTGAATGTCAACCTATTTTCATGTTTCCATGAACTTTTTATGCTATGATTTTAAGTATTTTTCAAATATTTACACATCATCAATCTTTTTCAAATAATTTTAGAATTCAATTGTTTTTAATAATTTCAACGGTAGTTGAGAAATTAATCTTAACAAATGTTAATCATTAGCTTTAATATATAGCTAATGACAAAAGTCATTATAAAGTCTGATGGAACCTAATTCCACAAGACGTGTGGTGGAACCAAATTTATCAATTTTGCTGGAACTAAGTTCTTTCAGGAACTTAGATATTGCATACCAAATATATAAAAGAATGGGTTTCACTTCCCTCACCCCAATTTCATGATACCAAATGAGTCGTAAAATAAATAAAAAATAATTTTAAAGTGATGTTTGCATGGACATATTTTGATCTTAGATTTAAAATCTCATGTTTAATATCTTATATTTCAAATTTATGTATTTTAAATCTTTTATTTGAAATCTGAATAGTATAAAAATTTCAAAAAGAAAAAAGAGAGATGACATGAAACTTAAAACAAAAATAAAACTATAAAAATTAAGTTATATTAAATTAAAATTTAATAATTGAGTTTCGAATGAATCATAACTATGATATATGAATTATTTAAATTTAAAATTTGGGAATTAAGGTACAGCTGATATAACTATCACAAAAAGATAGTAGCCTAAATAGATAAAAATTAATATCCAAAGTGAAAATAAATAGGGAGTCAGTATACTTTGGTGGTGTTTTGTTTTTGATCCTTTCAGTGTTATTTTTCTGTTATCAATCCTTTTAGTTTGATTTATTTGCATAATTTTTTGAAATATTAGCGAATGCTATTCACAACTCGTCATCTCTTATCAACGTGAAGCCTCTCCTTAAAACAATAACCCATAATATTATATTATATTATAATATTAATTATTATAATTATAAAAATTATTTCATTTCTAATATGATTTTTAGATATGATCTTCACAATTAATCATTTATGGTAAATATTATATAAATATTAAATGAATTGCAGTTATATGCATATTTATTAAATATAAATAAACAAATTTAATAATATCATATATTAATATTTACATCTTAAAAGATAATGTCCTTTGCTGTAATTGGTACATTTAAAATTTATTTTAATTTTAATTGAAATCATCCGAATATCTCAAAATCAATATGTTAATTTTTTTATAGTTAATTTTATACAACTGAAATCCAAACACACTAGAGTATGTTTTTCATCCTTTTTGACCTGTATGTGTGGATTATGAGGCTAAATATTTATTCGAATTCATGATTAATCAGTCCCGTGACATGGATGTTCAAATTATATGTGAAAAATGGTAAAAAATGGCAGGACTTTTTTCCCCCCCGTGGACAGAGTCAGGACCCAGAAAACACTGACAACTTTTTTTTTTTTTTTTACTCCCAAAGCCACATTGAAAAATGTATA